ATTCAAAAAATGCTACCCAAAGTTCTGGATTACCTCACTATCTACAAAGCTATGGAAGAAGAACCAATGGGAGAGAGACAATTTTCTATTGAAAGTACTGAAGATTGCCCACAATAGGACTCAGCGTAAGAAAAAAAATTAATAACTTAGCTACATGAAATCATATTGTATAAAAAAACTAATAGTAAGGGTGTTTGTTGCAGGGGAAATTGTGGAATGTTTGTACTCAAAATTGCGGAGTTCTTAATGATGGGGATGGACTTCGGCGAATTGACACCTGCACACATGGATCTGTTTCGAAAGAAAATGACTTTGGAGTTGATTCAATACAGCAGCAAAAGGCAGAGCAAGATACAGGAGAAATAGAAAACACATGCCAAAGATGTCTTTAATGAAATATGTGTTGAGTGAATGAAACATCTAAGACATGTAGTTGGGTTTGAATGTGTATGTTTACATTGTTGTACTGGTTTTTGCATTTACTTTTGTTCTTTTGCAAAGCTACTTGTTTAAAGATCAGACATGTTGATTGGAATTGCTGAAACGTTGGTATTTGATGACATTTGATATACCATATCATAAAACAACTATAGCCTGTGTATGGAAATTATTGTCATTATATTTGATCATTCAATGAAATTACATGTTTGCTAGAAAAAATAAATAAATATAAGTTAGTAGGTAATCAGATTTTGTAATGTACTAAAATGCTTTATTTACATGATTTTAAAATTATTTAAAATGCAATAAAAAGGTAATAAACAACAAGTAATAAGTACATTATTTATTTGAATTAGTATGATTGCCTGTGAAAACATGTAATAAACACCAAGTAATAATTATGATTTTTATAATGATGTAAACAACGTTATTTATAAAAAGTTCAAATAATGTTTGCAATTAATGACATTACTTTGAAAATTTACAGTGGAACTTGGAAATTAGTGACAGTAATGGTAGTAACTGAATAAGTGTCTCTACTTAATTAGTATGAAGAAAGACAGTAACATGTACTTTGAATGAGGTTAAATAATAGCCACATTATTGAAACAAAATACAAACAAAATAAAATAGTCATTGAACAAACATATGAAGTTTGTTATTCAAAACATAATATGTTTGATTATAGCATATTACTTAAGAACGAATAACAACAACATTTCAGACAGTATAAATGTTGTGTCCAAGGGCATGACAACGAGAACACCTTCGACGTTTTGATCCACGAAACTCTCCGATAGAAGGAATTCTGGATTTCTTTGGATGGCCAGGAGGTCTCTTCAAATAATGTGGAGGCTTGCATGCAATACTAAGAACACTCTCTGGAATTGACCAAGACTTTGGTTTTGGAATTGGATGCATGGTACCACTCCATGTAGACAGCCATGCATCACGAAAATAATAAGGAGAAATGAAATCATAACAAGAGAGGCCTGGTCGAATATGAAGAGAAGCAACACCATGTACGCAAATGAACTGATCCAATTGAAAGACACCACATGAACAAGTCTTCTTTGACATGTTAACAACAAATGATCGGCAATCCTTATCAACAACCTCAAACTCTAAATATGAAGATGGTTTCACCTAGATGGAGGAAAGTGGAAAAGTGTTAGAATTCTCATTATAAAATATGAGAAAGGTAAAACAGTATATGACATGGCACAGAATGTTTATATGACATTTCCAGATGGTATTAAACTACAACACATAATGGCAATAAGTAACAAAGTAATTTTCCAGAATACAAATGTACTTAAAAAGTGAATTTAATGCATAACAATTCAGGAAACTAAAAGTAATACCTGCATGTGTGTAGATGCATATTGCAATGCCACTAAATGTTTTTCACATTTACTGGACAAAATGGTAGTTTTTTAGAAGCTTTTTCACTCCTTTCTGTGAACCACTTTTGCATGTGTTGACGTATGAAGTCAATGAGCTTAGATATGGAATACTCTCTAGCAGTAACGTTAACCTTATTCAGTGACTCAGCACAATTAGAAGTAAGCACACCAAATCTTCGTGGACCAGCCATACACCTAGCCCATCTGTGACTCCCAATCTTCTCTAACCACGGACGAATCTTGACATTATCACAATCTAACATAGCTAGGTATTCTTCATATTCAGGAATAGTGGCAGCCATATAAGCAGCCTTAAACTTCCACCCAAGCCCATCCCTTCTGAATTTGTGAACAAGATTACGCCTAAGGTGTTCCACACAGAAACGTGAATAGCATGCGGAAAAACTTCAGATGCAGCTTTGATAAGTCCTTTATGGCGATCTGAAACAATATATAAGTCATGACGGTACGTAATAGTATCACGCAACTTCATCAAAAACCATTTCCAAGAAGTTGTGGATTCAGACTCACAAATGCCGAAAGCCAAAGGAACAATGTGTCTATTTGCATCTTGCCCACAAGCTGTTAGCAACGTTCCTTTGTAGTAAGCCTTCATAAATGAGCCATCCACAATTAACACAGGTCTACAAAACTGCTAAGCATCAATCCACGCTGCGGGAGAGAAGAAAAATGACTGAAACGTGTCATCGGCACCTCTAACAAGACTTATTGAAGATCCAGGGTTTGAATGGTCAAGCACGTGGGCCATGGACGGTAAAAGTTGGTACGAGGCTGCATCTGAACCAAACTGCTTTTCCATGGCAATTTTTTGCGCTTTCCAAGCTTTCTTATATGACATTGAAATTCCAAATTGCAATTCCATTGAAATTCCGTAACTGCTTGGGAGTATATGGTTTTTCTGATGCATCAAGGTATTTGTACGCCGCAACCATATCTGCAATGATATCTGTTGTAGCTTGCATGTGGTTACCTTGTCTGTAATCGACCGAACAAGTATGTTCAGGACGAAACCTGGAATGCAATAAACGGAATAATGCCATCACACAAACATGGCAATTGAACTGAACTTATGGCAATAAAAGACAAATATCATAAGACAAATTAATGATTTTTGTGAATACCTTCTAATCTGAAACATATTGACTCCAGATAATCTAACTGCGCGCACAGTCCATTTGCATGTTGTATCCTTACAAATGACATGAAGGCAATTTTTCTTTGATGTAAGCGTTCTATACTGAAAACTGTTATTGATTGCATACATTTTCAAATGGTGGATAAGAGCAACCTTGTCTTTATAGATGGCAAGATGAATCAGACAAGTAGGATGATGATGTGTAATAACCTCAATGTTATGGTGAAGGGTAAAAGATTTAGAAGAAGACAATTTAGAACTAACAGAAGAAGAGAGCAATTGAGGTTTCTGGAACATCAGAAAAATCAGATGATGAAGAATCATCATGTGGGTCAAGGTTGTGCACAACCTCATGATCAGAAATATTGACACGTGATTCAGTACAAGCTTCAGACAAATCAGATGATGAAGAAGATACAGTTGAATTATTAGAAAGATGAACTATGTTGTGAAATAGTGACGAAGCATCAACATCAACAACTTCATTACCAACAAACTGAATACGTAGTGGAAACTTCTGAAAATCAGTTTGAAGAAGTTTAAGATGAAGATAAAATTTGAATGTCTCTTCATCATGAATACGAACTTGCGGGGGACATCCATCAACCACATAAGAAACTATGAATGAATGGTTTGATTTGTACAAATTTAAGATTTGACTCAAACTTTGAATAAAAGACACATATCTAGCATCTGCACGAATTTGAATACCACAAGTGTCCCTATGAGTGAAAGTACAATTACTCAACCATATACCATCCAGTTTGACCATAAGTAGCAAAACAGAATCCATTTTGAAGATATGATTGCCTAAAAAAATGTTAAAAAAGTGTTATGCTAAATCATGAGAGATCATATTTAAATCAGATACAGAAAGAAAGAATATATAAAAAATTTAAAAAACAAAATGTAAGCATGTATTTAACAGTGAATAAGTAAAATTCAGTTTACAAAATAAAACACACCAGATGGCATTAACAGAAAAGGATGGCAATAATTGATTAACTATATTCAGTTAAGACTTAAGAATAAGTGATGAAGAAGATATACTGAAAATCAAAGTAATTAATGTGTATGCTTAGATACCTAAACAAAAGCAACCTAAATCAGCAAAACAAGTCGCAGTACTACAGAACTATGAATAATGAAGTATCGATTAAGTAAACAATGAAATATCGATTAAGTACAAGCATAGATGAGATAAAGGATGAAGCCAAACACCAATTTAATTACGATTTTGTGTTCGGAAATACGAAAATCAAAGCAACAAAAAATGGAAAACAATTAAAAAAACATGCGAACGTAATTTCATTGAGGATTGAAGAAGAGTATTGAAACTTAGTACTCCCTCCGTCCCAAAAACAACTTCACACTTCGTTTTCCACACATAGTAAGGAAATAAACTTACTAGGGGGTAAATTTTACTATTTTGACACTGTTTGGACACTGTTTGGATACTGTTTAGCACTGTTTGGCGCCGTTTGGCACTGTTTTGATGTAGATAACTTGCCAAATAAGGAAGTGGGAAGAAGTGTGAAGTTAATTTTGGGACATCCATTTAAGGAAAGTGGGAAGTTGTTTTTGGGACGGAGGGAGTAGAAATTAAGATCCACTTACTACAGAAGCTTGAAGAAGAACGAAAGCCTGAAGAAGAACGGAAGATTGAAGAAGAACCGAAGCTTAAAGGATTCTGCGAATTCAATCAAAGCTTGCGGATGTCGTATACGTGATGAATGACGGAAGCTAAAAACAGAAATAACGGAAGCCAAAAACGGAAATAAAAGAAGCACAACTAAGGGCTGTATAAAACAGGGGCAGTTTAGAAATGTTTTACAAAAGAGTTCTATTTAGGGAATAATTTAAAGAAGACTCCTATTTAAGAAGTTTCCAATTAATTTAGTCCTATCTAAAGCAAAAACTTTAACTATTTTCGGAGACTAAAAATGCATTTTAAAGGGGGATTCAATTGCTACAAATATGTTTCACTTGCATGGCAAATTAAACGGGGAAATTATATTGAGATTATATACTCCGTATTAAAAGAACTAAATAACCATATACACAATTACGGAGTAATTAATAGTCCTTAATAACAATAACTTAAAGAGATGCTCTCATCAGTCTCTTGCAACTGATTGACCGGTACTCTAGTAGACTACAGATTAAATACAGAAAGAGACAAATCAGAAAGAAAGAAAAAATGAAGCCGATTGTTATAACTAGATAGTTTAAATTAAGGAAGCTAATTATATTAAGCCAGGGAAGAACAATTTCCTAATAAATATAGTCTCAAGTAATTGATATGATGATCGGCGGTGATGAGCTCTCTAATTACAGAAGCAATGCAAGAAGACCGATCGGCCGGAGACGATAAGCTCCGATCAGGATTGCGGCAGTTTCTTATTGCCCAGGGTGTGCTTGTTGTTGTGCATCCACACCTTGAACACGTGCCGCTTCAGGTTCGCCTCCGCGCAGAACTGCTGCACCACCGCCTCGTCCTCCTTCTGTATCCGCCACTCCAGCTGCTCCGCCACCGCCATCATTTTCTCCCTCTGCTCCGCCGTGAACTTCGTCCTGAACCGCTTCTTCGACCCTCCCTCTCCGCCGCCGCTCGGATCCATCGACATGTCCTCCTCGTCCCGCCGGAGCGCCGCCAGAGGCTGCGGCACGTGGAGGTACCCAGCGTTGTATGAGGAGAAATTAGTGGGGAGGAGCTGCTGGTGATGGTTGTGGTGGTGCGGCGCGTAGCCGTCACTCTCCGTCACTTTGCGGTGGAAGTTGCGGTGGCAATTGCACGCGGCACATTTGAGCGCGTCGAGACTTCCGTCCTCTCCCGCGGGCATAAACTCGCCGCATCCGTCCAGCGCGTGGCCTCCAATCCCCACCGCGTGGTTCTTTAGACATTCTCTATACCGAAAGTAATGCCCGTAGCCAGTGCTCTTCCTTCCGCCGCCGCCCGCCGCCGTACCAGAGATTCCATAATTCTCTTCCACTTCCCCTTCGCGTTGCATCTCACGCTCCTCAACAAACTCCATAATTCTCTTCTACTTCACTTATATGTAATTAAATTTATAACATATTTGGTTATTGATTGATCAAATTAAAATGCTTAGCTAAAGCTAAATATTCACATATGTGAATGTGCATAAATATATGGTTTGAGTTTAATTAGCTAATAAGGGTATTTATAGTTGAGGAAGTCGAAGATGAAATTGGAAGAGACATTTAAAGAAAAACAATGATTAGTGATAGAAGAAAGAGATGAGGAGGAAATAACAAAGCTTATAGCTAAGATGGAAAAGAAGGGGTGGGCATGATTATATTGTACTTCCCTTTGTGAAACATATGTATATATACCCCTACTATCCTTATTAAACTTTACACACTTTGATTTCACATATATTAAAGAAATAAATTTGACTTTACTGTAAAACTGTTTGACACTGTTTCACACTGTTTAACACTATTTTGCACTGTTTGGTGTAGATTTGTTTCCCAAATAAGGCAAATAAGGAAGTGTAAAGTTTAATATGGGACGACCCGAAAAGGAAAGTATAAAGTTAATTAAGGATCGGAGGGAGTATATTTTTTTGATCATACATATGTATATATATGAATAGTCTAATAATATAAAAAATAAAAAAGTCTAATAATATTATTATTAAATGAAATATAGGGCACCAGTGGGCGTAGCTCAACTGGTAGCGAGGGAGTGTCACAAGGCATCTGCGATGAGAGGTTACTATGCTAAAAAAATGCATAGGGCCTCTGCAAGTACCGGAGACAGAGCCACACTTTCTATCTGTCAGATTAGGATTATAGTCCAACTTACATTCTTCCAATGTACCGTCCGGTCGGAGTTGGGGGACCTTCAGGGATGGAGTGTCATCCTTTATTAAATGAAATACACGGAAGGTTAGTAGCTAGATGCCCCCGTTTTACAGACAGTAATTAATAATGTGCTTCGGTTTGGCTCTCTTAACAGTTATCACCCAACCCTAAACTACTACTATATCAACTAGCTTTGGTAATGCATGTTCTTTCTCCAAGGGCAACGACCACCTTGCTGAAGTGAGGTCTCAATGGAAATACTTCGTATGCCATTTGGCAGGGTCAATGAGTTTAGCTTTGACTCTTCACTCAAAATTTGATTTATAAATAGATTTTTTTATGAAACATTAAATTTTTTATATTATACTATGAAATGGTAAGCAATAATCAAAATAAGTAACATTAGAACACTATTTGAGTTCGGTTTAGTGAAATGGTACAATTGAATTACATATGAAATATTTTTTCGTTATTTCATTCATAAAATGCACTTTAATGGTGAAATAATTACTGTTGAGTTTAAGTCCCGAATGACCCGAAGGCTCAACACCAACCTTGGATCTAAGGTATAATTGTTACAGTAAAGTGTATAAAAGAAATATAAAACTGATTGATTTACTCAAATAACTCTGCTTGTATTAACGAAGTAATGATAATTACACGAAAATGACCGAACAACGGTTACGGTCCAAAAGCTTACACAAGAGCTAGAATGCTTATAGAGCTAGTGAGTAAACAAATGCTAACCCTTTACAATGAAATAAATGGTACTATTTATACTTGTGAAGGGTATGGGGTGCTCCAAGATGATTGGTTGCTTTCCATGCCACTTGTGCACTCATGCTCCCACTTGTGGTCTCCATACTCCAGCATTAAATGCAGTCTGCCACTTGGACGAATTCCCGACCGGTATTGAGAATTTGAGATTTGCTAATCCACTAACCCGGAAGAGAATTGATTATCCAAGTGTTAATGATGCCTCGTTCGGGATGTGCCGAACTGGGGTCTCTCTTAAGCCACCGAACTCTCGTTCAGGGGCCCGCTGATTCTCCCTGGGCTTTCTCCTGTTCTTGGGCCCCAGAGATATTTTGGGCCGGTATGTTGGGCTGGACCCTAATATCCCAACAATTACATATGCATTATTATTTAAATAAAGATGGTGAACAAAAATGTGATACTCCGTCTCTAATTACACTTTCAAATTTCCTATTTTTTCGCCTGAAAAAAAAACTTCAACTTTCTGGTTTTGGTAAATAATTTGTAGGTTCACAGCAATTCTTAAATATTCTTACTTATTTTTCTCTCGCCGGCACAACTCCACCTACACAATACTCACTATCTTAATTCCCACGTCAAATGTACTTTAGAAAGTAATTTAGGGATGAGACATTATCTAATACTCCGTATATGATTACTATAGTAGTAACGTTTAGTAACTATACTCATTTTCAGTTTTACTAAATAATGTCTCACATTAAGAAACGTTTTTTTAGGATGTTCAATAGGTTACACGGTACAACCCCCCCCCCCCCCCCCCCCCCCCCCGATTTATGGGGCCCCATTTAAAAAATTTATGATTACTATATAATAATAATAATAATATATATTAATAGTTAGTAAAATACAATTAGGAATGAAGAAAAATACAAATCCTTCATTTTTCTTCGTCGGCCTTTTAGTTCTCTTTTACTCAAATTGTTTATGCATGTGATGAGTTTTGATGCTTTAAATCAAGAACTTAGCAAATTTTAGAATTTTCTTATTACATTATTTAATGATCGAGTATTCAATTGATTTGAGTTGAAGCATTTAGATTGAGATTTTTTTTCTTCTTGACGTTAATGTGAGACCTCTATTTTACATTTGGAATCGAGATCTTCAAATTAGTTTACTTTATACCTCTGTTCACATTTTAACTTTACTCAGCACTTTTTATTTTTCCATGAGTTTAGATATTCAATAATATTTTAGAAAAACACTCTTAAATCATTGAATGAGTAACTCTCTTTTCATCTGTCCCTTGGTCTCTTTTGATATTTTCATCTGGCCCTTGTTCAAGATAGATGATCTTCATCTGCTCGAACTAGCTAGACATTGATACTTGTAATCTATTGTACTGATTGGGCATTCTTTGAATTGGATAAAACATTAAAACGAAGTGTCATTAGGCCATATTAATGTGATGTATATGGTCTGATCATATCATTCTTTCTTACCCGTATTCATATTATACCCTAAATATATAACGGAGATTACCCCGAACATGCACACATATCATGTTAGATTTTCGTGTCACGGTCGACATTAAACAACGTGGAGACAATTTTAGATCACGAAATCCATTCTATTCCTTCATGGGAATATGGGGTACGTATATTGTTGATGTAACGCTTAGATTTGTGATATTTTGAATTTAGACCTCATATGAACTAGTTTTTCAAAAGAGTATGTACTACGTACTATGTTAGGCTAAAAGATTTTGGAAACGTGTGAGGTTGTACAAATAGGTTTTCAAAAGCAAGTGTTTACTACCCGCACGAGTAGCTCACTTGATCTAGTGGTGGAAGATTTGGATCAATTGATCAAAGTTCGAATCCCTGCAATGATCGGGTGGAGGTCACAGAACCTGAAATAAGGTTGGACCTCGATCTGGTGCGCACGAGTGTATGGGCCTACTACCACTCGTCCACTCTGATAACTGAATCACCGTAACTAACCTTTCTACCATCCTGTCGAGTCGGGTCGGGGCGGGGAGCTCTTTGGGGTGGGAGAACCCACCTTTTTTGGATCAAAAGCAAGTGTTTACTATTCATTTCAAGAATAATATACTATCCCTCTAGTCGTGTCCCGTTCCCACATACTAGGGGTTATCTCAACTTTCACTTAATAGTATTTCACTTTTTTTACAAGTGCAACATGTTCCATTTCATAAATAAGTGCATTATTTTTCATTTTACACTATTCACTTGTTTTACTTTGATCACATTTTATTCATTAATGTGTTAATATATTTTTTTGGAAAAAAAATATTGTTAAATTTATCTAATTGTAAATTTTCAAAATCTAATTTTTTTAATTTTTTCCTAATAGAAAAGGGCTTATTTGCACTTTTTATGTAAGTTCGAGGGTTATTTGATAGTTCTCCCATTTATTTTGGTCCCTTAACAATTTTCAATCGTATGATTTTTTGCAATTTGGTTTCTACTATATATCCTCGCGATTTTAAAAGGAGAAAGGAATGAAATGGTAAAAAGGGGTAAAGAATTAAATTTGAAGGCTGCATGATTTGGGGTGAGAATATTTAAGGCAAAAAATGGTAAAAGTAACATGGGTTCCGGAATTACTTTTCAGTAAGCATGAGAATGGAAGGTAGCGTGTCTGATCATCCGTATAGTGACGTCTTGTACACACTGCAAAAGCCTGCATGCATCTCTCCTCTGTTTTTCTGCTTTCAATCCTTTATTATTACGGATTATTATTGTTACGGAGTATTTTATTACTATTATTATTATTATAAAAATATGGATAAGAAATTAAAGACTAGAAGAGAATTTCGTTTTTTATTAGATGAGCATTAGAAGTGCATTTCTTGATCATGTACTTCTACTAAATTAATTTCACTTATAATCCTATAAAGTTTTGTGTCAATGGCAAATTTAGACTATGTTATTTTATTTTATCTAATTTTGATACTGGACTAATGTTCATTCCGTCCGGTTTTTTGGCGCCTCTAGCAATTTTTACCACTTGTTCACGTTTGAACAATAGAGTGAAAAATACCCGTACGGGTAGCTCAGTTTATCGATTGGTGGAAAAATTGGACCAAGTGACCAATGTTCGAAACTCGCAACGATCGTATGGAGGTTACAGAACCTGAAATAAGGCCGGACCTCTGGTGCGCACATGTATGAGGTCTACCGCCGCTTTGCTGACTGAGTCATCGTGATTAACCTTCTCACCATCCTGTCGGGTCGGGGTGAGAGGCTCCTGGGGTGGGAGATTCCACCTAATGATCAAAGTAAACAACATGGATAAATTGTGGAATATAATTGGTGCATTACATAGTACATTTTTTCCAAAATATTAATAAAATTCAATGTGAATATAAATTTAAGATCAAATATATAGAGCCCGTTTGGTAAAACTGAAATCGGGTGAATTGGCTGATTCTGCTGAAATTTATGAAATTATGGCGGAAGTGATTGTTTTGGCTGATTCTGCTGATTTATGAAAAAATTATATCTAAAATATATTTTATTAATAAACTAAATAAAAAATTATATGGAAAAACAACTAAAATGGTCATTTACAGTAACTTCAGCCAATAAAACCATCAAAGTAACTCCAACCTTACTTTTTCTTATTATTACGCAATTCAGTGCGAGAAATCAAAAATTACACGTTTTATTAAAAAGTTGTCTGATAAGTCTGATAAGCCAAAAACAGAGTCACCAGACTCATAATATAAACTTTATAATGTTTTAATTTCTCT